TACAAGTTTGAGCACATTTTAGTTGAATTATATTAGACAGGAAAAATGTGAAAATTAATTTGGAAAATGGATTTTTTTTATCAATATTAAATGTATTGTGTTTATACGTATTGCTGAAGTATTCATACCTTTATAATGTTGTTTTGTGTGTGGCCAAGACAGAGCCAACTCATAGCTCACCCTCCAGCAAGTTTTCAGAGGCAGTAAATCACACAGAGGAGATTATGCATCTTCTTCCCTTGGAGCAGCTGCTGGATTCAAACCTCATGCCTCTGAGTTCACAGTGCAACTCCTTAAACCTAGGCCACCAGAGCTCCCTAAAACCAAATCCATGCCATTGAGTCTGTTCCTTCTCATAGTCACTGGCTTCATGGGACAGAGTAGAATGGCCCAAAGTGTTTACAAGGCTGTGAATCTTCATAGAAGCAGTTTAGAACTGCTAGCCTTTTGGTTAGCAGGGGATGGTAATAAATATATCCTCTTCCAAAATTTAGTATTTGAGTAAATTGGTATCAAAAGATTCCCCAAGGAGAGAAGAGACAGAAGGGAAGTTGGGATTCAGAATGCATGGCCTGCACATGCCTGGTGAGTAAGTATGTCACCAACACAGGAGAAAGATGGACAATCTCCTCTTCTTCAGTGTATAGCCTCTAAACAGTGGCTTAGGTTTTGGGAGCTCATATGGCCTCATGGTAAGAAGCGGCACTGCAATCCCAAAGGCACATGGTTTGAATCTACCAGCTGCTCCTCAGGAGATTTACTGCCCTCCCATGTGATTTACTGCTTCTGAAAACCTGCTGGGAGGGTCAGCTCTCCATCAGTTCTGACTTGATGTTACTCAGTAACAACAAACACCCACTCCATGGTCAGCTATGAATCTTTTCCAACTTGACAGCAATGAGTTGGAGGAATTGGGGTTTGATGTTTTTGTTTTGTTTTCAGTTTATATATATAAATAGTTGGTGTTTAATCGAATACAGCAGTTGGATTTGTATATTCAATCTCTATAATAATTTTTTATAATGATTTTTTTAAGCTGTAAACTGTCCAGATTTCCACAAATACTCTTTCTCTTTAACTCTCAGAGCAGTCTGGTATGACCCCATTTATTATCCAACCTCGTGGCAGCTGGACCCAACAGAAGGACCGAATCGAGAGCGGAGGCGTTTACAGAGATGTTATTTAACTATTCCAAATAAATATCTCCTCCAGGGTAGACAGAAGTCAGAAGGTAACAGTGATTCATTGGCTCAACATGTAAACAGGGAACTGCTGCTATTAGATAAAGATTTTACATGTGTATTTAATATTTTGTGTTATTTTTGTCAGCAGATCTCCTCAAACCACCACTTTGTTACCTATTTGAAGACAAAACTCATTCTTCTTTCTCATCTACTGTAAAAGACAAAGCTGCAGGTGAATCTATAAGGTAAATTTGAATCTGTAAGATTCTCTCACTTATTGAAGGAGTTAAAGATTTTTAACAGTAGGTTGTAGTGTTCATGCAGTATTTATCGTAAAATAAATCCTAAAGACACAGAGGTCAAATTTGCCAGCTGCTCCTCGGGAGAAAGAGGGGCAATCTCCTCCTGTGGAATTTACTGCCTCTGAAAACCCCACTGGAGGCTAAGTTCCAACAGGACAGATACAGCAACAACAACAAATTTGACTAAAGAGAGTACAATACTGATTGGCTAAAAGCCAAAAGATTGTAAGAGCATTGCTGATAGAAAAGTCCTCATTGGACTCTGAACTTTTCCCCAATAAATATTTTTATTGTGTTAATGGTGATAGTTCAAACACTATGTTACATTCCCATTTCATAATTTCTGTGTTTCAGGTGTGTCTTCATCATCCTCAATCCTTCCATTGTGGTTATACCATTTAGGGTCTTTTTGTTTAACCTACCCCTAGCCTTCTCATTTTCTGCTTTAGGATTATTTTTGGCTATTTTGCCTCATACACATAACTTTTTGAAGGGGCATTGATATTCTTTATTATATGAACCAATCTGTTATTTAAACAAACAATGATCTCAAAGGATAATTTTAGTTTATAGTTTAATGAGTACCTTATCAAAAGTCCTGGGGAGTCCTCTAGTTTCAACTGGTCCTGTTCATCTGAACATTTTAAGAATTTGAGTTCTGTTGCCTGTTTTTCTCCTGTTGTCTCAAGATCCCTCTATCTGAGTCCTAATCAGAATGGCCATTTCTGGGAGCCAGACACCATCTAGTGCTTCAGCCTCAAAGAAGACTTGGCTAAGTCTTTGGTGTCCTTCCTTTTGTTTTGTTCTGGGTGATGTGAGACCAAGCAGAAATGCTCTTGAATGGCTACTTTCAAGCCTTCAACACCCCAGACACTAATCACCACACCGGGATATAAAACATGGGCTTAATGAACACCCTTCTGTCACTTAGCTGAGTTGTCCCACAAGGTCATGATCCCAAGCCTTCAAACCCAGAAAACACTGTTGCTGGGCATTTGGTTATGTCTTAATAAAGATCAGTAACTGTGAAGTTAAGTTTATATTTGAATATACGTACATGCATATTTGCACAAATGCCTACAGATGCTTCTGTCTGTACACACATATACGTCCATTTAGCCTTATGTTTAAGAAACTGCACCACGATCCTAAGGGCGTGTGGTTCAAACTTCGAATCCATGAGCTGTTCCGAGGGAGAAGGATGGGCCGTCTCCTCTCATGCGATTCACAGCCTCTAAAAACCCACTGGAGGATCGGTTCTGACATGATGGTACACAGCAACAACTTACACATATATGCCTGTATACATTTTCATGTGACCACACACATGTTTTCAGTGGTTCTTTTGTCTTAAAACAGTATCTGTCATAGCTCTACCAAAAACACGCCTTTCAGTAGTCTGTTTTCTTTTTAATTTTTATTTTTTGTTGTTTGCTTACAAAGTTTCATACATTGTGTTTCACAATATCCTTCATTCACATTGTGTTTTATACAGTCATTCCCATACATTGTTTTACAAAATTAATCACCCCTGAGCTATGCCCACCTTCCCTCTTGACATTATTCACCTTGATCCATTGTGTGCACTTCACCCACATTCAATGCTACTGTTTCCATCACCTATATAACAAATTTCTGTAATCTCTACAGTGCTTCACCCCACCCCATTCGTCCTGGGTAGCCAGCCACCAATGGATGTTACTGTCTTTATTTATTTTTTTCTAGAGACTTAAGTTTATTAGTGGTTATCAGAGGAGGGGAGCAGGAAAAGAGAGACTAATGATGATGGGAAATGACTAGAAATACTAGAAAATGGTAGATGTAAGGTTATGTTATGGATGTATTTACAACCATGGGGTGGGTGCGCATGACTGCTGAGGGCTGCTGATGTACAACCAAATACCTCATATGATTTGGTTCCTTGGTTTAGGATTTAGAGACATGGTTACATGAGACATCCCAGTTAACTGGCCTAAAATCATGTTTAGTGCTTCTGTTCCATCTCCTGGTTCAGTGCCTGGGATCTTAAAAGCTTTCCCATGCCCATCCAAGGCAAAACAATTGTGCTCTATTCACTGATTGCATAGCTGAGTCATTGTTGATGAGGACCATATAGTAAATCCAAGATGTTTGTCTCAAAGCAGTGCTGGCTGTAAATCCACCACCGAGCACTGTGTGGGCCTATGCTGGCTGAGTGGCAGGGCACAGGCACTGCCCTTGCAGCTCGTGGCCACTACCCATGCAGCCTCATCTCCCGAGCTGCAGGGCCTTAGCAGGAAGGCGGCCAGGCGAGCACCGAGCCACCCAGGTGCAGGCTCTACTGAGGGAGCATCTGGTCACGTGCATGGAGCCAGCTCTTCCCCAGCTGGGGCCCTCGGGTACATTACACACTGTCTCTGGGTGGCCTCTGGCTTCAGGACCCAGTGGCGGCTGCACTCTTTATTTTTGCCTTATAAAATTGTGGTCAGACAATATTTGTTCTTTCATGATTGAGTTATTTCACTCAGTGTCATTTCCTCCAGACTCATCTCGGTCAGAAGATGCCCTGAGAACTCAGCATTATTATTTATGCCTGCACAGTATTCCCATGTTAGGTGTGTCCCACATTTTGTTCATCTGTTCATTCATTGTTGGGCGCCTCCAGGTTATTTCCATGTTTTTTGCTGTTGTAAATAAAGCAGCAGTCAGCATAAGTGTGCATATCTGTCTGTCGATGGCACATAACAACAACAACAACAGGAGTAAGATTGCTTGGTCATCAAGTAGTTCTATTTATGTCTTTTTGAGGAAGCAGAGTACATTTTTACCATCCCACCAGCCATGCATAATGGTTCTACTCTCCCTCCATCCTTGTCATTTTATTTCCCATGTGTTGTTCTACTTCGAATATGTTCATAACTGACTTTTCTAGTCACTGAGAAATAGAGCTAATGGTGGATAAAAAAGCAAGGGAATGTAGTGATTTAAGTCCCAAATTATGGTTCTTCCTCATGCTGGGTTTGTCTGATAGAGACCTAACCTCTTTGCATCAATTTCTTCTTATATAAAATGGAGAAAATAGTAAAACTGAAGATCTCACAGCATTGTAGAGAGTGGTAAATGAGTTGGTTTGTGTCACCTGTCAATAATAGTAGAGTCCCTGGGTGGCACAGACTGTTAAACGTTCTGCTAATAACTGAAAGGCTGAGGGTTCAGGCCTACCCAGAGTTGCCTGAGAACACCAGATGGTCTGCAATGATGATCAGAACCCTGTGGAGCCTCTTCTTCCCTCAAGTACATGTGTCACCATGGGTCAGAGTTGACTTCACAGCAATGATGGGGGTTTTGTTGTAGCCATTATTGTTATAGTTTCCTTTTTATAGATAGAAAAACTGAGACTCAAAAGAGGGTAAGTAAAAAAAAAAAAAAGAGGGTAAGTGACTTGATTTAAAAATCAGGGAACTTTTCTAACTCTAAGTCATTTGTTTTTCCTAGGATACTAGAAGTCTTTTCTGTACATGATCTATCAGAGATGTGAATCAAAGTTTTTTCCTTTAACAGAAAATTAAAATAATATTGGACTCTTTTAAACAAGTAAATCTGGATATGCTGCATCAACATTACAGGAATTACTATCTTTTTCTAAAAGTTCATCTTCTTTCTCTTATACTAGAACATTGAAAAGTTAAATAGTATTTTCCCATGGATTTTTACAGGGCAGTACTGTTGAAGTGCTAATCTGCTTAGCTAAAATCTTTTTCTAGATAAAATAAAGCTTATGCTCACTAGAATTGATCAAAACATTTAATCATCATAATGCTGAATCTTGACAGAGTGAATCGAAGATGTTTCAGTGTTGCACCATCTAGAGAGACAGCGGGGGAGCTGTTACTCGGTAAGTCTCATTTAAAGGGTTTGCAGATTTTGCCTTGAATTATTTTTACATAAATCTTAGATGTTGGGAAGTATTTTTATGAAACATTGTCATCAAATCAGGTAACTTTCTCTAACATCACATAAGCTTTTTGACTCACCATCATAAATATGCATCTCACGGTGACAGAATGACATCTTATGCTCCAAAAAGCAAATGAATACCACTTTAATATATACAAAGTTAAATTTCTACATGCATATGCATTTTAACTTTTAATCATTCCTTTGATTAATGTAGATGTTTTAAAGTTAAAATTATTCATATATGCCTTCTCTCTCAACAGATACATACCTATGCAAAAATATATCCACTTTGAGATTGTCCATAATTTATACACTCTTTTGTGCTTCTGAGAGAAAGGACAAGATTGTCAATCTAGGACTGTCATGTTTAGTTATATATAATATGGAGAATTTTCCTCCATATTTGAAGGAATCAACTTATACTATTTGATCTCTATTTGCATAAAGAACCAGTTGGTTTACTGTAGACTGAAAACGTACTCATTGCTGTCAAGTCAGAACCAGCTCAACACTGACCCTCCAATTGGGTTTTCAGGAGGCTGTAAATTGTATGGAAGGAGATGGCCCATCTTCTTCCCCAGAGCTGCTGGTGGCTTCGAACTGCCAAAGAAGCGTAGTCTTGAGGTTAGCAGTGGAAATGTCTACACACTATATTGCCAGTGATCTTGTGAAATAGTGCCCTTGCCTCTTTTTTTAAATAAAGACACTAAGGCATGAAGGTTAAATGGCTTGCCCAAGATCTCAAGAATAGAATTGAAAATATTCCTTGATGCCAGGAGCTCATCCTAGGTGCTGAAATTCACGTTCAGACAGGCTCACCCCAAAGCTCATGCTTTAACTACTACACCCCCTATGTGGTATAGTGCTTTAAAGTCTTATATCCATGTATTTTCTATAGGTAAATGTGGAATGTATTTTGTGGAAGATAATGCTTCTGATGCAATGGAAAATTCAGTAAGTAAATGAATGCATAAATGTGCACATCCAGAAATCTAAATACCCAAAACAGAAAAATTGAGTATAACCAGAAAGTAGGCAGAACTTGAATTGTTCAATTATGCAATATTTTCTTTTCTTTATAAAGGACAAGGTACTTACTATTAAACTGGGAGATGCATAAAATAGTTGATTCTTTTTCCTCCTGAGAATTTTGTTGTTGTTGTGTTGTTGATGTAAATTCTAGAAAGCCTGTGAAGAGTGTGTCTGATCCTCGCCTTATTGGCACCAACCTCCCCATCTCCTAGCATTGGAGCCTGTTGTTACAGTCACAGGTCAGTCCATCTTGGTGTGGGCCTTCTTCTTATGCAGATAAGAAAATGTGGACATAATACTGCCTTGACTTATTGTTGATAGATTATTTAACATGTTATTTGTTGTTATGTACTGTTGAACTAACTTGTAGCTGGAGACAGAGGGATTTCAGGGGCAGTAAATAGCACAGGAAGCGACTGGTTGCCCATCTTCTTCCACAGAGCAGCCAGTGAATGAGTTTGAACCATGTGCCTTTGGGTTGGTCACACAACTCCTTACCACTAAGCCATATGCTAAAGCGTTTTTTTAAAAAAGTTATTTTGAAAAGAAGACCATGTTATCTCTTCCACCTTGTGGTCCAAGTCTCATAGCAATTCATATGCGTCACATTCTGAAGGGCTGAACTTGAACTTGTGGTCAACTCCATGATACATAAAATCGATAAGAAATGCTCTATCTGCATAAAAAGGGAACTTTTTTAGGGGTAGGTGGGTAACACTGAGAAGAGTTGTCATGGAGGCCTTTTTCCAAGTCCCCAAGTGACTATGTAATAGATACTTGGACTCTTATCAGCCCAATACCAAAGGCAAACTGTTCATTTCTGCCAGGCTTAGAAGGCTCTTTTCCTTTGAAGCAGAGGAAGCACATACACAAAACTATAAAAATTGATTGTATTTTAAAATAATATTAACTTATTGTGGGAAAAGAAACCCAATAAACTTTCTTTTTTTATTTACATAACAAACAATCACTACAAAACTTATCCCAGCTAGTATAGTTATACTATTTTTCCAGATGTGTACTGTATTATATCTCTTTTTTTTAAAAACTGAGGAATTTCATTGTTGATACATGAGTTAACATTTGTCTAGATCCAGAAGATGCCATTTTCTCTTTTCAAGCTTATCTTTTATTTGCCATCTTGATTTTAAATGTGTGTACAAGTACCATTTGCCCCCTGTGGTGGAGTCCAGCATTTAGCCTACTATACCAGCAGGGCTTCTAAAGCATACAAGTTGCTGCTGTTGTCATGACTCCTCATGTCCCCATGGACAACAGCAGGCCACAGCCTTGTCCTGTCTTGTTCCATCTTCATTATCTCTGCCATGCTCAAGCCCATTGCTGCAGTCACAAAATAAACAGGGAACAAGTCTATTAACATTCACAAAGTGAAGTTTTACAAGGCTAGAGAGCCTAGAATGTATTGTCTTTAAATTCAAAACCATGCTGTGGATTTCCTGTTGCTGCTGTTGTTCAGCACCGCTGAGTTGACTCTAACTCACAGCATCCCTGCATACAAGAGGCTGAAGCCTGGTCCATTGATGTGCCGTCCTCACAGTCTCCACCTTGTCGGATCCTGTTGTTGTAGTCACTGCCAACCCATCATGTTGAAGGTCGTCTCCTCCTTTCCTTATTCTCTACTTGTGCAAGTGTGATGTCCTTTTCCAAGGACTGGCCTCTCCTGGCATTTTGCCCAAAGCATCTGAGGTGAAGTTTCACCATCCTTGCTTTAGGCAGCTCCCTGGCTACACTGCTTCCAAAACAGATTTATTCTATTGACAGTGCGCCAGTATTTGAATTGTGTGTGCACTAGCTCCATAATTCAAAGGAATAGATTCATCTTTACTCTTCTTTATTCATTGTCCCAACATGCATATGAAGCAATTGGAAACGGCATGGCTTGGATCAGGTGTACCTTACTTCCTCTTTATTCTGACATGCTTGCTCTTCAGTGCTGTAAAGAGCTCCTTGACAGCAGATCTTCCCAATGCAACACATCTTTTGATTTCTTAACTGCTGCTTTCCATGGGTGTTGATTGTGGATCCATATAAAATTACATCATTAACAGCATCAATCTTTTATTCCACTTATCATAATGCTATTTATTGGTCCAGTTGTGAGGATTTTTGTTTTCTTTATGTTGAGGTGTAATCCACACTAAAGATTATATGGAGCCTTTGATCTTCAGTAAATGTTTCAAGTCCTCATCACTTCCCCAAGCTAGGTTGTGTCATCTGCATAACACAGGTTGTTGATGAGGCTTCCTCCTATCCTGATACCACATTCTTCTTCATAGAGTCCAGCTGCTTGTATTATTTGCTCAGCACACGTAGTTGAATAGGTATGGAGAAAGGATGCAACCCTGACACATACATTTTCTGATTTTAAACCATGCAATGTCCACTACCAAAAAAGCTAAATAAGAGCAATTTTCTAAAAGGGAAAATGTAATTAGGCAGGGTTGTGAAGAGGGGAAGTTTTCTTGTCTTATTCTTTGGGAGGCCCTGATGGTGGACCAAGGGTAGGACCTTGGCCCTTAACTCTTCATCCTAGACCTTGCAGCTTTGTCTAAACAGGCTAGAATTGTCACTCTCAAAGAAACATCTCATCTCCTGCTGACCTACTGGTTAAGGAGTTGCACTGCCAACCTAAGGGCAGGAAGTTCAAATCTACCAGTTGATTTGATGGAGAAAGATGGACGGTCTCCTCCCGGGAGATTTAGAACCTCTAAAAACCCACTGGAGGGTCAGCTATGAATGTGTTCCCGCACAACAACACACCACATGACGACCGCTTCAGGGGATCAGAGCCACTTCACATGTGCTGAGGAGAGCTGACCTTGGAGTTACAGGGGTCTCATGCTGCATTCAGGAGCTCCTCCCCAGACTCCTTTCCTTTTGCCTGGAGCCTGGAGGTGACTCTCAGGTTCCTTTCTGAAAGTGGGCACTCCTAGACCATGCTGACAGCTTCATTGTAACCCAGATCCATGTGAGAGGAAGTCACTGGGGACCTCAGGGAGAGGCTCTGGTGGGCACTGTCTGTGGGTTCCTCCTCTAGTTTGAAGTTTGTGAAGCAGATACAGTTTTGGCACTGGTTCCAGGGAGCCCACAGCCTTGTCTTCTATCCCCCCACGGGTATTGCCCTCAGTCTCTCAGTGTCTGAAACACAGCCAATGTGGGTACCGACCATCAAGCAGCCAGCCAGGAGCTGTTACGGCGTCCTCCTTTCCTGCTTGTTTTCAAGTCTCAGAGGGCTTCAATTAACTTATTTTCTCTTAAAGTTGAGTATGCAAGAATACTACCTTTTCCCCAGCATTTTGAAGGATTTAGAGTCAAAAAAGTTTCAGATGATCTTCCCTGCCTTTTTGCTGGGGGTGGGGGCTTAGTGGGGAGCCTTTTTTGTCCATTTTAGTGAATTACCTTAACTCTAAATTAAAATTGCTATTTGTGTTGAGTGCAATGCAGTTAGCCCTGTGTGTTTCTTTTGTTCTAGAGCCTTCAAGAGGAGCTGGAGCCAGCATCTTTTTCCTGGACATACGAAGAAATTAAGGAAGTTCATAAGCGTTGGTGGCAGCTGAGAGACAATGCTGTAGAAATCTTTCTAACAAACGGCAGAACACTCCTGCTGGCATTTGATAACACCAAGGTAAATGCAGCTGCAGGAACAGAGCTGTTTTCAGGTGACTGTATGACCACTGCAGTTCTAATCATACTGCTTGTATGCAGGCCTGCTTTCCTTAAAGTCACTGTTTCTGAAATCAAATACAAATTTCTTATTTTCTTTGACCTAATGAAATGGAATGGAGGCCCTGGATCATGAAAATGGTTATGCCCTCGATTGCTAGCCAAAAGGTTGTTGGTTCAACACCTCCCAGGAACCTAATTGTCTCCTTCCTACAAACATGCCCTGGAAATCCCATGCAGCCACATTCTGCCCTACGCATACAGGGCTGTGCACAGTCGAGTCACCCGGATAGCAGCTAGTGACAATTAAAGTCCTTTACGTGAGGAATATTCTTGCCCTTTAAAATTGTGCTGAAGTTTACCTTCCCAAAGCCTGTGGTTCTGTTTGTGAAACTGGTACAAGATGTTGTGTTACTGAGTGCCATCAGGTCATTTCTGCCTCATAAACACCCGGCAGCACAGAGTACAGCTGTCTCTGGGGTATCCTAGCCAGTGGTCTTCACAGGAGCTGCTGATAGCTTCAGACTTCTGACCTTCAGTGTATCAGGCAAGCACTAGGAACAACTAGGGCTCTTGAACGAAGGGAGTAGGGACTTTCTCAGGTCGGTTGTAGTTCCCATGTCAGATTGACTCTCTCTTGACTCCCACGTGGCTTATGCCATTCCCCCTACCCAGAGCCTCCCCTGTATAGCCATGTTCACATCTCTCTCCGTCTTTCCCCCTCATCCCCCTCCTCTCGTCCAGTGTCTGCTTTGTGGGTCCTGTTACCTTCCCCACTCGTTTTGTCTAGAGCTTGGCCACTTCCATGCTCACTTTCAAAGGTACCTGTTCTTCCTCAGCCTTTTTATTCATTGTCCAGCTTGCACACGCACATGAAGGCATTTACAGTTAGGGCTTGAGTCAGGCACACCTTGTCCTGCAGCCCTGTTAAGAGGTTCTGGACAGCAGCTTTTCCCATTGTGATATTTCATTTCTTGGCTGCCACTTCCATGCATGTTCATTGTGGCTTTAAGTAGAATCAGAGGTTGGCATCGTCAGTCTTTCTTTCTCTGGTCATTGTGATGACGTTTGTTGAGCCAGTTGTGAGGATTTGTTTGGTTTGGGTTTTTTTTGTTTTGGTTTTATTTTTTAGGATTTGTGTTTATTTTGTATAAACAAAATCAATACTCAAAATACAATACTCTCTTCACCCAACCCCTGGACACTACTTTTTCTTTGTTCTGTTGTTCTCTATAGGATTTATTGACATCTTTAAAAGAATGTAAAGATTTTATCTTCAGTGTCTTGAACATACAGTCCTGTTATTTAGAGTTAGCTAAGAAAAGACATGGATTCAAATTTCAATTGTCCACTAACTAATTTTATTTGGGCAAAATCATCTCCTTGGCAAGTTAGAAATGTGTGCTATGTCCATAGTACCAGGGATTCTTGTCAGTAAAACATTTGTTTGTTTACCTTTCCCTCTGTCCTGGGGGGAAATGCCACAGGAGTGACAATAGTGAAGAAGAGTCTTTTTCAGTACATTGTGTAAAGAGAAAACAAAAATGGAAAAGGAGAGAGCTTGCAGTCAGAGCACTGTCTGAATCCAAAGTTTGTTAGAAACACTGTGTGTATAATAATTTTTAAATTCATTTAAGGCTTGCCTTTCCACGAATTCTGAAAGCCTGTTAGATCACATGATTGTGTACAAAAGTTTTTTGTTATTTGTTTTTTTTTCCCTTTACTATGAGCTGGTCAGGAAGGTCATTATTGGTACATATTCTAGTAGAGATGGCAAAGGAGGTTTAAAACAAATGATGTTGGCTTCCATATTAATACAAGACTGTCAGGGAATTCTTTTTCTTTGGTTCAACAGTGGACTGGCCTCTGTGCATATGGAAATGACCCTTATGTTAATGCCTTTATTGTTTTAGGGAAACAAGACCGAGGCAGGTTCTTTGCTCCTAACTTCCTCCTGAGAAGAGGGTAGCCATGGCCCTGAGGATTCTGGCAATGTGATAGCTGCTTTGGCAGTTTGAAAGACCAGAGGATTCATGTTGTTGTGTACTGTGTCAAGTTGGAACCGACTCAGAGCTGGCCCTCCAGCAGCTGGTTTTAAGAGGCTATAAATCACACAGGAAGCTTTCTATCCTTCTCCTGAGGAGCAGGTGGTGGATTCAAACTGCCTGCCTTTAGAGAATGCACAGAGAGTTTTTAATATGGCAGCTGGATTTAGGTTGAGGCATAGTGTTTGTTCAGGCCTTGACTGCAGGCTGCAGCTCTCTACAACTTGCACACCCTCTGGCTTTAGGCTCTAATGCACTTTTCCTTTCAGGTCCGTGATGACGTCTACCAATGCATTCTAACAAATAACCTCCCAAACCTCCTGGAATATGGAAACATCACAGCTCTGACCAACTTGTGGTACACTGGACAGATCACAAACTTTGAGTATCTAACGCACTTGAACAAGCACGCCGGCCGCTCCTTCAATGACCTCATGCAGTACCCCGTGTTCCCGTTTATACTTGCTGACTATGTGAGCGAGACTCTGGATCTCAATGATCCAGCCATCTACAGGTGGGTGAAACATTGCCTCGTGAGTTTATCCACATGGTGCATTTGTTTTATTACAATTTCCACTATGAAATTTCTTAGAAAAACTAAACTTATTGCCATGAAGTGGGTTCTTACTCATATTGACCTTGCACAAGATTTTCGAGACCATAAATCACAGTGGAGGGAGACGTCCACCTTTCCCCTGCGAAGGCACTGGTGGATCCCAGTGGCCCTTGGGTTAGTTAGCATCACCGTTTATAACAGACCACACACCAGTGCTCTCTCTTTGAACATGCATGCATAAGAATGAACCAAATATCCCAGCCATCCCAGTTCAAGAAGATTTGTGCCCAACTTAGATCATCTTTCTCTCTGCTCTGTCTTTGTGCTTAACATAAATCCCACCATCTTGTTTGGTCACCTGTCTCTTTTTTTTATTTTTTTTTTTTTGTCACCTGTCTCTTAAATGGTAATAGGACATTTCTTACCTGTAAAAAGTTGAATTGGCACACACAAAAGAGTTTCTATAACAGCCACATGCCCTGACATTAACACAAACTCCATGGCCTCATCTATACCTAGTCTGTGTCCAGATGTCTCCTGATTATCTCAGAAGCGTCTTTCCTAACTGGCTTACTTGAGCCTGTCTCCGTTGACTGCTGCATCTCTGAAGGCACCCATGGAGAAACCTTTGATCCCGTGTCTCCTCTGGCCCCTGCGTCTCTGAAGGCACCCATGGAGAATGCCTTCATTGGTTTGTGTGTCTTTTGCTACTTCTTTGCTCTTTACAACAACTTACTGAAAAGACCTAGTCCTTTCTACAGGATGCCCCAAAGTCTGTGTTTTTCTCATTGCATCCTATGGGAATATTTAACTTGTTTTTTGAGCCTCTGTATTTGCTGAAGATTGGAAATTAGTCCCAGAGGCTTAGTTAGATTCAGATTCAGCTCTTTTTGGCAAGAATATTTAGTAAGTGGAAGTGTGAGTATCCTATCACATCCTACCAGAAACCTTTTGAAAGGCTCATGTGTGGGTTCAGGTTCCCACTTATTTTTTACTTAATGGTTTTATTCAATAAAGTAATAATTTAATTTAAAATATATAGAGTAAGTATTCCCTTTTTTTGTTATTATTAATTTTAATGAAAATTTACAGAGACTTTGGATTTCCATTCATTCATTGTTGCACTTTTCTCCCCGCCCACCTCTTCCTCCCTGCACCCTCCCTCTACCCCGTACACTCTTTGAAAAGTAAAGGAAAAATTCTTTCATTGTTTTACAATCCCTCCCCCCAGATCCACTCCACTATGCAGCCTTCGCCCTGGACTCCTGTCATGACAATAATACCTAATCACATATCCCTTTTAACACGTTGCTGCACAGTCTCCCCTCAACCCCGAGGTCACTCCAGTTTTACAATAGTGGCACTATACAGTATTTGTCCCTGTGAGACTGAGATAATTCACTCAGCATAATGTCCTTGAGAGTCACCCATTTTGAATAATATTGCATGAGTTCCTTGTTTTTCAATGCAGCGTAGTATTCCAGTGTGTGAATATATCACAGCTTCTCTATCCATTCGTTTGTTGATAGGCACTTAGGTTGTTTCCAGTTCCTTGCTATTGTGAACAAAGCTGCAATAAACATGGGTGTGCATATATCTGCTTGGGTGGCAGTTATGGTCCCTTTGGGGTATATTCCCAGCAGTGGAATTGCCGGGTCAAATGGTATCTCTATTTGCAACGGTTTGAGAAAGCGCCTCACCACTTTCCACAGTGGTTGCACCATTTCACACTCTCACCAACAGTGAATAAGGGTTCCAGTTTCTCCACAACCTCTCCAGCATTTGTTGTTTGCTGTTCTTACTGGAGTGAGATGATATCTCATAGTTGTTTTCATTATAGGGTAATTTTTATTCAAATAAGTAATGATCACTTGGCTAGATTATATTATTGTTGTTGTTGTATACCGTTGAGTCAGAACTGACTCATAGCTGACCCTTCAGCAGGTGTTCAGAGGCAGTTAATTGCATGCGGGGAGAGTGCTACCACACCTTCATGCATGTGCCCACAGGCCCAACACTTCTCATGCTGGTTGTAGTCTGAAATTCCATATGACCCAGCTATTGTACTCCTAGGAATATACCCTGAGAATATGAGAACTGAGGCACAAACTGAGATTTGTACACCAATGTTCATAGCAGCATTATCCAACATTGCAAGAATATGGAAACCAAATGTCCAACCGCAAATGAATGGATTGAGAAATTATGATACATTCACACAATGGAATACTATGCAGCACTCAGGAGCAATAACTTTGTAAATAATTACCTAACTTGGGAGGGACTGGAGAGCATTATGCTGAATGACCTAACATAGTCACATAAGGATAAATATTGTATAAAACCGTTATTATAGAATGAGTATAAGGATCCAGGAGGGGTGGGAGAGGCTGGAAGCAGAAGGATGTAGATGTGCAGGGGGAAGAGGGGATTAATCATTGGGTTGTACAATTTGATTGATGTGGGGGTGAGGGAAATTGAAAGAATTTGATCAAATTTGTATTTGAATTTTGTAAATAAACTAGTAGAAAAATTTAAAAAAATGTGGATACAGACTGGATGTAGTCTACATCTCCTCTAGCTGTAGTGTATATGTCGGGTGAGCTTGTCTGGGATGATGTGTGAGTATAATCTGAACATAGTGTTCATGTTGAAGTCTACATGTAGTGTGGATGAAGTCTGGCTGTAATTTGGATGTACTTTCATGTAGTCTGGCTATAGTCTGGGTGTAGCTCAAATGTAGTCTGCCTAAATGTAGCATGGTTTAAGTGTGTACTGGGTGTAGTCTAAGAGTCATGTGGGTGTATTCTAGATATCCTCTGCATGTGGTGTGACTGTAGTCTGTGTGCATATAGTCTGTATATTGTGTGGTGTACACTCATTGTCCAAGGGTAGTGCTCGCATTGTTTGGGTGTAGTCTGGGATGTTGTGTGGGTGTCCAGATAGAACCTGGGACTAGCCTGAGCATAGTATGACAGTCTGAGTGTAATTTAGATGGATGGATGTCTTGTTGTCATGTGAGTATCTCTGGGTGTAGTATGGATGTCTGGTTGTCATCTAGGTATTCTGAGTATAGCCTGGGTGTAGTCTGGATTTAGTGTATAGTCTGAGTGTCGTCTGTAATCTGAGCATCATCTGATGGAGTCAGAGCATTGTCTGGTGTAGTCTGAGCATCTGCTGATGTCATCTGAGCATCGCCTGGTGTAGTCTGTAGTCTCATCATCATCAGATATAGTCTGCAGTCTGAGCATCATCTGATGTAGACTGTGTAATCTGAACATCATCTGACTTAGTCTGATAGGGACCTCAGGGCACTGAGGAAGCACCCTGGTTGGGAGGAGGAAGAACAGTAGCTCCTATTGAGCAGGTTACTCATGATCAGAAATCCTGAACATATCTGAGGGTCTGCTGGGGATTTCCATCTCCACAGGGCAGTCCTAATTTTGCATGGTGACTGTTGATTGAGAAGCCGCATGTGGAAGCAGTGAATTTAGGACTGGGTGTTTTCTTGATTGTTTCTTGCCTTACAGGTGTAGACACCTAAGCAGCTTTCCTTTGGCAAAGTCAAAATTAAATGCTTAATATTCTCCATCTCTTCCTTTGTAGAAATCTCTCTAAGCCTATAGCTGTACAGTATAAAGAAAAGGAAGACCGTTATGTAGACACATACAAGGTACTTTTTGTTTTTCCATCTACTTAACAAGTGAAAGATGTCATTTTATTGTATAACTTGCATCTTATCTAATTTAAATTAGTATCTTTCTGTTTTCCACTTTTCTGTGAAACAATTAGAAATTCCCTCAGAGACAACAGAAATCATTATGTGATTTTTTTATTACTATATAATTGCTATGTGTCCATTTTCTAGAACCATTTTGCCCAGAAAAACAGAATTACTTTTTTGTGGTTTAAAATGAAAACTATTAATTTATTATTATATCATCTCTGAAAATCATTCTTTGTGAAAATCACAAAGACTTCTCAAGGCTTACTATTCATGTCCACTGCTATATATCCAAAGAGCTCTATGCTAACCCAAAGACATTACGTCTCTGGTGATTTGAACCCACCAGTGCTCCAAAAAGAAAGATGAGCAATCTCTTCCCATGAGATTTGCTGCCTCCAAAAGCTCACTGATGGCCCGGCCTGAAGTTGCTTCTGACTCCATAACAGTGAGTTTGGGGTTTTGAGTTGACTGTGACATGTGGGGCTAACTGGTGGCCTGGTCTGTATGTAGCTGGGCTCCAAGCCTTGCTGGCTTTTCAGATCTATTAACAACTCCTTGGGGTAAAGACGAGCAGTTTCCTTCTCTTGTGCTTTGCTGCCTCAGGAACCCAACAGAGGGGCCCTGTGAGCCAGAACTGGCAGCCAGTGAGTGTCCTATGCATAACAATATCAGTATATTTATAATGTAACATGTTGTTGATTGTTGTTGTGTGCCACCGAGTTGAAACTGCCTCATAGCTGACCCTCCAGCAGGTTTTCAGAGGCTGTACATTGCACTGGAGGAGACTGCCCACCTTTCTCCCTCAAAACAGCTGGTGAACTCAAACCACCTGCCTTTGAGGTGTCAGTGCAACTCTTTACCACTAAGCCACCAGAGCCCAGTATTGTAACATTGTTGTTCTTAAGTACTGTCAAGCTGGAACCAACCCAAAGCTGATTTTCCAGGACGTTTTCAGAGGCAGTTAACAGCATGGGAGGGATTACCATTTTACTTCCGTGGAGCACCTGGTGGATTTAGCACTTTTTCAGTGCACCTCTTTACCACTAGGCTATCAGCATGACTCCTTATTATTCATATGCAAGGAGCTTTGCATGCATTGTCTTTGTGAAAAGAAATTTGCTAGATGTTTATGTAAAAAAATAGAACTGAAAAAATAGAAATGTGATACCTATTTCTGAGAAGCTAGTATTAGTTGAACTCATGTTGGAAATTGAGAAAGCTCATTAGCCATGTGCTGCATTTCTCTTCACAACCCTGTCAGGAGAAGAGTTCCTGAAGCAGCAACCTCATGCTCACTGCATCATATATCACAGGCCCAGAATTCACCTGCCAGACAGCTTTTGACTCTCACTGCTTTTACTTCTTGTCTCTTCTCTAGTTGACGTGGGGGATTGATTGCTGTGGGCATCAAGGAGAAATGAGCCTCAGATGTCCATCACCACTTTGTTAGCAGAGCCAAACAGGAGCTAGGAGTTGAGAGTAGGGATGGACAGTAAATATTTGGTGATGTGTCCTGTGCTGTAATGGGAAGATAAGAGCAGTGGAAAATCCATTGTCTCCTTTCTTATCTCTTTATATCCACACTGACTATAAAACCAACATAAACTGTTAACATTAACACCCTACGATTCTAATAATGTAACACTGCTTTTCCATTAGTTTGCATTCTTAGAGATGCATTAACTTATCAATTACCTAGCATTACACTTTGAAAGTCTCTCAAAAAAACAGCTCCTCCAGTGACAGTTCAGCTCTTAATAAGGGAACATTCAGCCATGTGGATCTTGGTGGGATGTATACAGGAGGGCTTCCAGATGCTCATGGTGACCATGATCCAGAGCAGAGCAGAAGGCAAGCTGTGGAGCTCAGTCTGAAGAGGGGAAGAGAGAAACCACTTGGGGTGGAGGGCTGTCCAGTTTAGCCTGGGCACCCTCTCAGGGGTTATCCTCTGGCCCTCTGTCCCCCAGTACCTGGAAGAAGAGTACCGCAAAGGAGCCAGGGAGGACGACCCCATGCCGCCCGTGCAGCCCTACCACTACGGCTCCCACTACTCCAACAGCGGCACCGTGCTGCACTTCCTGGTCAGGATGCCCCCTTTCACCAAGATGTTTTTAGCCTATCAAGGTAACGCTTCTTCTTCACTGCCTCAAACACTTACCGGGGGTAATCCGAAAATGGGGGGAATCTCCTTATTAGAATGTATTGAGACAAGTCAGACCACAGGAGAACTCTTTCTTCTTTCACTGTAAAGTTTGTTTCAGCGAAATGCTCCCCATTAACTTGCAGTAAGCCACTGTATCGTGTGTCTCAGATTTTAGCTCCAAATTAAACATATCTAGTTTTATAAAATGCAAGTCATTTTTTAAAAAGTGAGATGTAATTCATATACCACAAAGTTAACCCTTTGAAAGTATATGCTGTCCTTGGTAAAAGTCAACTTTATAGTAATAATGGCATTGATCCTGACTTCACATCATGTTCATTAGCTCTGGTTTCTAGAAGAGAGTAGCGGTAATGGTTGATAGATCTGACTCAGAGCAGCCCAAGTGCAACAGAAGGAACCCCCTGGCCCACCCCCATCCTCTCAGCCGCTGCTGTGTTGAGCCCATCTCCTGGAGGGTCTTCCTCTTTATACCCTGACCTTTGCCTTTATCAAGTGTGGTGCCCTTCTCCCTGCTGATGACAAGTGCAGAGTACAAGAGACAATCCTACCATCTGCTCTTCTGAGGAGCATTCCACTCAGACTTTTTCCGTTCTTCGGGCAGTATATTCAATATTTTTCACAAACACGGTAATTCATACACATTAGATCTTCACTCTTCTTTACTCATTGTAGTGTGTTCTTGTTATATATTCTAAACAACTAGTTACTTATTGTCATTTATCCCAAGTAACTTATTCTGAGTAACTAATTGTTGTAATTTGTTCTGAAATCTAATACTCACACCTTTCCGCTAGGACCTTTCTAGTTAATCTTCCATCTTAGTATTTTAAGTGGCAGCTGGCAAACCTGGGGTGACTTAGAAGTTAATTACTGATTTTTCATGCAAAATAGGGCCATTCTTAAATCATTTCCAGTGAGAACTGGGAGAATATCAGCTCTGTAGTGATGGCCTGGAACCCAGAAACTTTTGTGGAATCACCTGCTTATTTATTCAACCCTTTTTTAGCTTCTTTCTCTAAAAACAAGAGGAATGACTTTATGGTTCACTCCTCTTGATCTATAAAAAGGACTTTTATTTGGCTCTTTGTAAGTACACAGAACAAATGGCAGCTGTTCAAATATTTGGGGATGGTAGTCCTGTCCCTTTTCCCTCTCTCAGTCTTGTTTTCCCCAGGCTAATGAGCCGTAGTTAATTTGGCATCAAAATTGAGAGTTACTGCACAAAGTCCTAGTGCAGCTGCTACAGGAAATATAAAAAGAAACAGGAAAATTCTGTACTTGATATATCTTATAAAGTAATATTTAAGCCTTCCTTGTTTGCTCAGGCTTGCAAACCTGTCACTATTCTGATCAAACCTTTCTAAACATGGGCCATTACAGTGCAGAAGAAAATGGTTTACTTCTCACCTAAAACTGCATTTTTCTTAATGCTGTCCAAGAATCCATTAATATAAAACTCCCAGTAAACAAAATTTCTAAATATATTTCCATACATAGTACTATTATACTAGATTTTTGTTCATTGCATATTTATGCTTATCTCTTATAAAATGCAAGCCTGAGACTGCTTCCGTTTCCCTTCTTTCTGATTAGTTTAAAATTATGTGTTCTGACTTTGAATTTATTTGTGCACTGTGGTTTAATAGGGAGTTCTTGGTGGCCTAATCAGTGTGAAATTGCACTGCCAACACAAAAGTCGGCAGTTAGAATCTACTAGCTGCTCTGAAGGAGAAAGATGGGCAGTCAACTACTATGCTGTTTACTGCCTCTGAAAATGCACTGGGGGGCCAGCTGAGTTCATTCTTGCTTGACAGCAGTTTGGGTTTGAGTTTTGAGTTTTATGATTTACTACTTCATGCACTTGATGTCATTCCACAGCTCGTCTAGCCTTCAGATTCATGTTCAGTGCATCAGGTCTATTCTTGAGATGCTCTGTGAAGTCAGATGGGATCTATTCAAGATCCTAATTGACCCGGTGGACTTGTTTTCCTGTCCTTCAACTTGAATTTGCTATCAACAGTTGGCTCTGCAGTTTTCCCCTGTCGTGTTCTAACTAATGATATTGAACTTCTTCACCATTATCTTTCCTCAGACGTAGTTTATTCTGTTGTATGCCATCTGGTGAGATCAATGTGTCTAATTACCATTTATGTTCTTTAATGATAATTTTGTATTGGTCATACAAAATTCTGTCATGTGGTCACAGCCTCATATCTATTACCAAGGCTGCATTTTCCAATCACCAATCCTTCATTGTTTCCAATTTTTACAATCCAATTAATGCACTTTGATTGCACATTGAATCAAAAGGCCACATAAGATGCAGGATAACATCATACATGAAGAAAGCAGATCATTGAAAAGATGAAAATGGATGTCAGAAGAAAGTGAAGAATGAGACACCAAGATTGAAGGACAGCTAATCAGTGATCTGTGGTATGCAGTTACTACAACCTTACTTGCAGAAAATGAAGAAGACTTAAAGATTTATTGATGAAGCCCAGACTATAGCCTTCAGACTATAGCTTATGGATACACCCCAACAAAAGAGAACAAAAGTTCTCACTCAGGGCCAATAAATAGCTTCCTCTGAAATGGACAAAATATTGAACCTGTCAGTGATTTCTTTTTGCTTAGATCTACAATCAACATCCATGGAGGCAGCAGTCAAGAAAACAAACAGCATATGACATTAAGCAAACCTGCTGCTACAGACATTTTCAAAGCACCAAAGACCAAGGATGTCACTTTAGAGACAGCTGATCCAAGCCATGGTGTTTTCTCTTGCTTCATCTGCATGTGAAAGTTGCATAGTGAATAAAGAAGCCTGAAGAATTGATGCCTCTGAATTGTGGTGCTGGCGAAGAGTATTGCATATCCCATAGACTGCCAAAAGAACAAGTCAATCTGTCTTAGAGAAAGTGTACCCAGTGTGCTCCTTAGAAGCAAGGATGCTGAGAGTTGATCTCACATTTTTTGAGCATATTATCAGGAGTAAGCATTCCCTCGAAAAGGACTTCATGCTTGGTAAAGTAAGACATGTGTAGTCAGTGAAAAGGAGGAAGAAGACCCTCAGACAAGGTGGGTTGACACCGTGACTGCACCAGTGTGTTTAAGCACAGCAGAAATTATGAGATGACACAGGATTGAGCAGGGTACTTTCCTGTTGTTCCTGGGTTTGCTGTGAGCCTGAGCTGCATGGAGGGCACCTGACAACAATGGTTTAGTTCAGTTTCTCAGCCTCAGCAGAGTTGGCATTCTGGGCTGGAGAGTTCTCTGTCGCAGGAACTGTACTTATGTTAGAGGGAGCCTGAAAGCTTCCTGCTAGATGCCAGCAGCACCTGCTCATTCACTCCAACCATCATTGTCTCCAGATACTCCCATGTATCCCCTGGGAGGCAGAAGTGCTGCTGGGTAAGAGCCACTGGGCCACTGTGTATATGTTTTAGTTCATCGAAAGTTGTGGTCATACATTTTTTAATAAATTGAGAACTCAAAGAGAAGAATCTTTGCAGCACCCAAGATATGCTTCTCTTGTTTCACAGCTCATTGACCTCACGTCTAGGTAACACAGCAGGGCCGTCAGGGGTTAGTACCGTACAGAATTTCCCTCCATTTTACTGTGCTCCATTATGATAAGAACTTTTCCTCCTTATGTTGTTGTTGTTATGCGCCATCGAGTCACTTGCAAGTCATAGCGACCTTACAACAGCCTTAAACCCTACTCTGTCCTGTGCCAACTTCACTGTCTCCGACACGCCTATCCCCATCACCCCAGTCACTGAATCAATCTGTCTAATTGAGGGTCTTTCTCTCCTGTGCTGTCCTTCCACCCTCTCAAGTATGACATCCCTCTCCAAGGACTGATCCCTCCTTGCAATATGTCCAGAGTATGTCAGATGAAGCTTCAGAGTCCTTGCATCAAAGGAGCAGTCTGTTTTAACCCTCTCCAGGATGAGCTTGTTTGTTCTTCTAGCAGTCCATGGTATATTTAGTACTCTTCTCCAGCACCAAAGCTCAAAGGCATCAACTCTCCTTCTATCATCACTAGTCATTGTCCAGCTCTCTGATGCATAGCACGTAATTGTGAAGACTAGCCTGTATCAGGCGCACCTTAGTCTCCAGACTGACATCATTGGTCCTCAGTACCTTGGAGAGGTCTCTGATAGCAGACTTTCCCAATGCAATTCATCTTTTAATTTTCTGGCTGCTGGTACCAAAAGTGTTGATTGTAGAGCCAAGCAAACTAAAGCTGTCAACAATCCCAATCTCTTCACCATCTATCATGATGTTGCCAATTGGCCCGTTGCTGAGAATCTTTGTTTCCTTGACACTGAGCTTCAATCCGTATTGAAGGCTGCAATCCTCGGCCTTCTGCAGCAAGTGCTTCAGATCCTCCTCAGGTTCAGTTTTCTCCTTATGAGAATCTGTAAATGCTTCTTTCAATCAACCCTCTTTGCTGGCTGAGAACAAAGAAATAATTATAAACATCATTTCTTTCAAGACTTTGGCCAGCCAATGCTATTAGAAACAAGGCAAACGTTCTAATAGTGTAATAGGAAATGTTTCTTAGTGGAATAATTGAGACTTGGGAGGAGGGAAGGAATTTGCCATATTCTTTTAATATTGCTCCTTGCTTTGATGTGAGAATAGTGTGCTACAGTTTACAAATGAAAAGCTGTGTTCACATTTCCACAAATCCAGAGAAACTTCAGACTGTGAAGCACTGCTGATGTTTTCAGAGCTGCTTGTGGGTCTGTTTCAGACTCCAGGTCTGGCTTATGGCTGATATGGTTGTGAGAAAAGATACCAAGTCAGTTTTTAATTCTTGGTCATTATTAGTCTATATCAGAAAAAAACATGCCAAAAGGGCAGCTGTGTTTCATTTCTTTGTCTTCCCAGAATGTGCCACTAGTTCTTCAGTCTTGGAGTTAGTGCATCTGCTTAACTCCACGTTAAT